GTAGATGTTCTTTGGTACAGATGTGCCTGTGCTGAATGTGCATGGCAGAGTGTGCTTGATTTTTAATGTGTTATGTGTCTCTCAGCCGGTGTGTCTGTGAGCTGTAAGCTAAGACTGTGTATCATGTAGTCAAGGGTAGACGGAGAGCAGTGGATTATGGGATGGAGGGAGGGGTTGAGCGGAGCCGCATCTGCTGAGGGTGGTGTGATACGGTGGCTGCGAGGTTCAGCGTTTTGATAAAAACAGCCTGACTAACAGCACACCGCGAGCGGCTCGCCAGTGCATTATTCACACTGGAGTGTGTGACACTGCGCTGCTTCTCTCATATGAACGATCAACGATTCGCAACTGGTTCTGCTTCAGTTTTTCAACACAAACTGAAAAATGTGAAGGAAATAAAAATGCCCTTAAATCCAGTATCTGCAGTGCATTAATATTAACAGCTCAAACCCATCAGTGTACACAAGTGTGGTGTGAGTGAGTGGGAGTGGGAGTGTGAGTGTGTGTGTGTGTGTGTGTGTGAGTGAGTGAGAGGGAGTGTGTGTGTGTGTGTTTCTCTTGCTTTTTGCAGACTGTTTAAAGTGGCGACCTGTTTCTAACCCATAAAAATAACTTTTATTGGTATAAATTATTGCATTTCGGTTGATTGAGTGATGTAATTCATATTTTTCACTTGAATAATACTAGCTCCTTTAGATGTTACTATTTTAGGTTCATATTTCTGTAAGCGTACATTTATGTCTCATTAGTTAACCTAAACTAGTAGTGAGCAATATATTTTTACAGTATTTGTTCATAGTATTTGTTAATGTTAGTTAATAAAATTTAATTATGAAGTGTTTTTTCATGTTACAGTTCACATTAAAATGGTATTAGTAAATGGTGTAGTTAATATTAACTGAGATTCATAAATGCTGTAGAAGTATTGTAACTAATGAAACCTTATTGTAAAGTGTTGCCTAATTATTAATTGCACAATTACACTGTGTTCAGTGCAAATCATGTTTATCCTCACACTGAAAAGAACGGGAACATCTAAATTAACTGCTTATTATTTAACTTCACTGAAATCCTAAATGCATTCATTTATACCAAAACAAGAAATAATATAAATAATGGGTTAATTCAGGAAGAAATTGCTCTTTAAGGAAACAATTTTTACAGTACATTAAAAAGGTCAAATCTAAATGAACTGCTTTTATTCAAGTCAAAAATATTATTTAACATCACTGATTACCAACTGATCTCATTTTTTTATGGGTTAAATCAGGTAGAAATAGTTCTTTAAGGCAACAGTGCAGGAGAGGAAATGTCTTCAGGAAGTCAGCACATGTGAGGAGGGAAAGATGGACAGACTTTAAATAGCCAGTGGAAAGCAAGGGTTACTCCCGTCCATCTGTTTTCTGGACTAATAGGCCGTAATCTCCAGTGACAGTGCAAGCTAATTGCTAGTGATGTCTTTGTGGGGCGGGGTGTGGAGGCGGAGCCTTTCTCTCCTGATCCCGCCCTCAAGATGGACAGCAGCCAATCATCACTGCTCACAAGCTGTATGAGGCTCTGAATGTCCATTTGTGGAACATACATGAAGAAGCTCATCTAAAGACTAGAGCTCAGAAACTATGCATGTGACGGTACTTCAACAAATTCATGAAATAATCCAGTTTTATCAAGCAGAGGGAGACACGTGCACTTGAATACACTGATCTGAGTGCTATCAAACTACAACACTGTAGATTCTTGAAACGATTCGATCAATCAGTCTGTTTATTATTATTCAGCTCGGCCTGCTTGTTCCAGCTGATTGTGGGATTAATTATCCAGTGTCAAGCGTTTAATAGTAGTTTGCTCTCAGTGTCATTGCTTTGCTAATGTGTCTCTCTCACACTGGACTTAAAAACACTCTCATTTATTACAGCCAAATTGATTTTTTCTCAGATTTTATTTATGGTTTGGTTCACATTTTATTAAACAAAAAATACATCTTTTCCAAAAGATAAAATACATTCATGCAAAATAAAAGGATGACCATATCATACTTAATCAATGTAGACTTTAGACATAAGCCAAAATGTTACGATGAAAGTCAATATAATTTTTTTTTGGCTTTTCACAACTTAATTTCACCATAAGCAAAAGCTAAATGAGCTATAAAATGAAAGTAGAATTTTGACTGAAGATAAAACTGCATGAGAAACACTAGTGTTACGTTAAATAATGCTAAACAGATCATCGTCATATATTTTCAAATGCGGTCTTTGAATATGCACGAATTATTGATCTGTTGAGGGAAAAGTGAAATGCTTGGTCAGAATAAGAATATATTATCTTGAATATCCTGCAGACGATCTATATTTAGTGCTGATAATCCCTTGATAATCTACAGCGTATAAATGAACGCTTGTGCATTAGGAGAGTGTCTGGAAGTTGATGCATGTGCTTGCATCAGATAATGTCTGCGTTCACTCAGTCTAGATGATCGGAGCGCGTCTGAAGAAGCGTGATGATCCAGAGGTCTTCAGGACGGTATAATAGTGTGCATGGAGACATGAAACCCTTCTGCCTCTGTAGGCTGTTTGTGAATAGATGTGCAGTCTGCCAACATAACTACAGTATTACAGTGCTTATGTGCAGTTATTTATGAGTGCATTTAAAGTACATAGAGTAAATTAAATCACCGTCATGCAGTCTGGATAGGACAGAAGCTTCAAATAAATAGACTTTAAAAGGCTCCACAAACAGTCAACACTTTCTATAGAAACATCAGCAGTTCTCTTGCCAGAAACAACCATAAGAGCCATATGTATTATTGACAAAGTATAAGCGTTACTGATAACACTTTAGTTTAGGGATCAATTCTCACTATTATGCCTGCATATTACTAGCATATTGGCTGTTTATTAGTACTTATAAAGCATATATTAATGCATGACCATTTTCTAAGATCTCTGAACCCGACCCAATACCTCACAATATCACTATAAGCAGCAATGAGGAGTTTATTGAAGGAAACTCTTAGTGAATAGTGAATATGTGTTCCCTCAGCTAAAGTGCATTAGTCTTTTTCTCCTCTGATGTGTATAAACATCACTTAATATGGAGACGGCGTTTTATGTTTCTAAGCACTTTTAAAATGTGCACTTTACAATAAAGTAAAATTTACTTTAAATTACACTTTAAATCATTATGTTTTAATAATCTTTTGTCGTGCTTTAAAGAAGTACACATGATGTGTTGGCTAACATGCTAAAGCACATGTAAAGTTCTTGATTGTAGTTTAACTTCAGTGTGTTATTTAATATTAAAGTGAATACTTTTTAGTACTTCGTCATTACAAATGTATCAATATATTTAAATACATGACAAATAAGTTTCAGTAGGAATGATGTTAAAGTATATTTTAGATGTTAGTACATTCAGCAGCATTTTAAGCATTTTTTAAAGACAATAATAGAAATAATTATGAAATTACACATAAAGACGTGCTTAAGTTCTGCTTAAGCGGGTCAAAAGCACTCTTAAGTTCAACTAATCACATCTGAGATGAGTTTCAACTAAAATAGATTTTCATTAATTGTAAATAGAGCCCATCATGACTGAGTGCGTCGTATAAGGCGTCTGGACTGGGTTTCATTGCTTTAAAGAATCACGGTCTTCTAGATACTTCAGAAAATAATTTCATCCACTCCATTTATCAAAGAAAAGATCTCCGCTTATGTTTGAAAACTATCCGCTGTATGAAAAGCACATGTAGATGTCTGAATAAGTGTTCCTGTGATTTCTGAGAGAGTGAGTGTTTTTAGATTGAGCAGTGATTGATCCAATCAAACAGAGCTGAGCTGATAGAGTGCACTTTAAACCGCTCGTCTGAAGCGTCAGTGTGTGAGAGAATCAGACGCCGCTGCTCCTCCACGCTGGTGAGTTACTCTGATCATACTCTCAGAACAACGCCGCTCTGATGCACACATTTACAGCAGTGTTTATGTGATAGATACTGTATGATCAGAGATTGTGGACTCGCGGGTCACAGAGATGACAGCTAGAAATCCAATTCATGTTGAATTAATGTCAGACGTTTTTAGGAGTGTTTACAAATCAAGTCCAAAAAAGAAGCACAGAATCAGTGGAGCTCAGACTCGGTTTATCAGTGTTCAGCTGCACACAGGACACTGTTCAGAGATCAGCAGACACACAGATCTTCTGTACTGTAGGTGCAGCTGCTGTGATTGGGTCTGCATGAGTTCATCATGTTGAGATTGAAATGATTTCACTGGCCACCAGTGAAGCAGATTAAACTCTGGATAGATGGCACATAAAGCACGAGATATGGTCAGATTCAGCACGTCGTCGTGAGACTCTCGGAGAACAGGTCTTTAGAATTCATTTTTATGCTAAATTACACTGTAAGAAGTGGCAAATTGTTATCTTAAAGAGCTATTTTTTTTTTAAATGAACAAAAAGGAGTATTGTTGTTATAAATGAATGTATTTAATACTATTTTGGGCTTGAATAAAACCAGTTCATTTGGATGTTACCCTTCTTTCAGTTGTCACGCCCATGGACTGCCCCGTGTTCCTGTACACTGTCTTGTGTTTTGCTCCCCATGTGCTCCCCGTGACCCAGCTTCTCCTCGTGCTGATTGTGTTCTATCTGATTCAGCTGTGTCTCGTTTATTTCCTCGTTTAGTTCCTGGTACTTAAGCCCTGTGTTTTCCTGTGTCCTGCGTCCAGTGTTAAACATCAATCCCCGGTGCTACGTGTGTATTCCTTGTGGTTTATATAAATAAAGACTGTAATTATGGTGATTCTCCTACGTGCTCCTCGTTCCTCACGCCAACACAGTAGGCACTCGTGACATCAGTGTATAGGGTATATATAATTGTATATACACTATATATAATATGAGTCTTTTTTTGGGGCAGTAAGATTTAAATTTATTTATTCATTTTGTTCATTTATTTATACCAACAAAACTAATTATTGTGGGTTAATTACAATAAATTTTTCGCTGTGCTGGCCTACTGGATCTCCACTCGGCCGCGGCCCATCACGCCGCCCTGCGACCTCCGGCTGCAGTCACAGGAAGTGCAGGTAAACCTCGGATCAGGTGTTCAGCGCTGGCCAATCAAATGTGTGACGATAATCATGCTGCAGTCAAACAGACAAACCTCTGGTTCTCAAGCAGGGGCCCGGGACCTTATGAGGAGCCGCAAGGCTTTATATTGTTTAAAACAAGACAAAACAAGGTTTAAATACATTTGATTTCAGCTAGTTGCCAATGAAACATTTCACATTTGAATTTAGTTAAACCTGATGTACTAAAATAACTAAAAAACTAATAAAAATTTGTTTAAAAATGTAACTAAAAACAAAAACTGTAGCTAAAAACAAACTGAAAACAGAAATGAAAACTAATTCAATATATTAACTATAGTAATATCTAAAGGATACTAAAATAATACTGGTAAAAAAAATAATAAAACTAGAAAAGTTGTGTTAATTCATTGGTAATAAAAAGTGTAAACCATGTAGAACATTCAGTTACTGGGGTTATGAAATGTAATTATTTGAAATTATTTCTAATTATTTTAAATATTTTATTGATTTCTTTTGATATATTGCCTAGTTTCTGTAAATAAAAAAGTTTGAAAATGAGCAGCTTTGTCATTATGGCAGAAATATTATAAATATAATTTTTTTTGACAGTAAATAGCTTTGGAGTCATAAAGCTTGAGAAGCGCTGATCTAAAGGCTTCTGCTCACATGACTAATCATTAGTTATTAATCGTGATGAAGTGTTCATCACACATGTTCTTCCTTCACTAGTGTGCAAAAGCATTCCATGATGCACCTGATGAGCAGAGCTGATATAAACTCACACAGAAGAGAGTTTTCATGAGTGTCACATACGTATGCAGCTCCAACATTATGCTTTTATCACTTCAACGATAAATCATCAAACTAAATGTGAGTACATGTTTAGACTGGTTCACGCTGTCCTGATGATCTGTCTTTTGTCTGAGTCCTTTGTGTTCAACTCTGGCTCAGACCTGAGGTTTTTGCATAAGCAAAACATTCGTGGCAGCTGGCCTAAAAACAATAAGATCATCACCATATATATAATTCAATACTCTCTTTTCAAACGCGGTTCAGGAGAAGATAATGATAATATTTCCTGCACTGTAGTCCTCTTGAAAGCTCTCCACATGCAGACGGACGTTTGGTTTTAAACAATGGCATTATGGTCGAAGATAAAAGCTCTAAAGCGAGCACACAGTCCAGGAGAATGCAAAGACGAATGCAAATACAGATGCAAACAAGTACTACACAACCAGTCCAACAATGCATCTTTTATACGGTTAATGAAAAGGGATTTACAGAAGAGCGCCTCCTGTTTTCCAGATGGAGGATGGCGCTCGAAGGTCCATGATGGGCGACAGCTCCACGCTGCTCTCGTATTATCACGAGGACGCCAAGACCATGTACGAGGTGTTTCAGCGAGGTCTGCACATCACTGGTGAGCGTCGCCGAGCAGATCTGCACACGCATGCATGTACTGCCACATCAGTTATACTGGAGCAGGGCATATGCCACACGCGTGAACCCCGAGTCATGCAAATCATGTGATGACCAAACAGCATTTTGGGTAAACCTCACAGCGCAGGCCTCAGCAGCCGAATGTCCACATTTGGACACACCATTGACTTTATCTGAGTTATACGCAGAGGTGTGTTATAACATGTTTGGCATACATAAATATAGTGATTAATAATGAATAAAATTTCAATCACTTACAGCATAGAAAACAGTTGTTGTAATGATATTTTACAGTATAGTATTTTTGATCAAGTAAAAGCAGAAGAGACTTGTTTCAGAAACACTCAAATAATCGTAGTCATTCCAATCTTTTGGCTAGTAATTTAACTGAGATCCGTGTGAGAAGAGAATAAAGGCCGGATGAGATGTAGACGTGTTTGAGATGATCTTCAGAGTGGATGAGTGTGAAGATCTGACGTCTCTCTGGTGTTTCTGAGCAGGTGACGGACCCTTTTTAGGCTCCAGACTCCCCAATCAACCCTACAAATGGCTGTCTTACAGAGAGGTGAGTTTACAGCTGCTGCTCAATCCGATCACAAGTAGACGAGTGAGACACACTCCCGTTTACTGCTGCTGTTTCTCTTCTGAACACTTGCCTGATTTCTGGGAGGAGAGGGTCTTCTTCTCATCTTTTGTTCTAATATTGCGAAATAATCTCACGCAATTTATTCACGTGAAAGGAGACAACAGAAAACAATACGGAGAGCAGCGGCTCTGACAGCCTGTGTGTTTGACTGCTAGGAGAACATTGTACTTTGTACCAAACGTACGATTTCAGAAGGCAGAGTGTTGGGTAGGTTACTCTAAAAAAGTAATTCATTGCTAGCTACTAATCAGTGTAGTTCGATTACTGTACTAATTACTCTCTTTAATAAGTATTGCATGACTTACTACTAATTACTTTCTAAATCTCATACCAGCCTCGATCAGTTGAGCAACTCAAGGATAGACATGAACCTGCTCTTTTGATTCTTTAGAATAAATCATATAAATGGCATAAATGATTGACCAAAGCATTTAAAGTGATACATTATAACATTAGATGTTAAATCCACTGTTGTTTTTATATAGAATTGCTCTGAAGCCTATACAGAATTTAATGCAATTACATCAGAAGTAACTGTGAATAACTTACAAGGGAACAGTAATTAGATTACAGTAATGCATTGCTTGGTAAGGCACTACAGCGATGTGGATTGCTGCATGTCTCTGTGGTGGTGTCTCCTGCAGGTGTCCAGCAGAGCGGAGCACTTGGGCTCTGGATTGCTGTCTCAGGGATGTCAGCCCAGTCCAGATCAGTTCATCGGGGTGTTTGCTCAGAACAGGCCTGAGGTAAAACACCAGACACCAGAACATGAAGCTGCCAGAAGCAGTGAACAGAAACTCATGAGCTCCTCTGTGTTCTTGGTTTGCAGTGGATCATCTCTGAGCTGGCGTGCTACACGTACTCAATGGTGGTGGTGCCGCTGTACGACACTCTCGGACCCGACGCCATCCGCTATATTATTAACACAGGTGAGGCTCCACCGACACCACATCCATTCCTTTCCGAACTCTTCCAAATAAAGAATCCAAAAGGGATTTTCTTTGCAGCGATGCCGTAGAAAAACCATTTTTGGTTCAGCAAAGAAGATCAGTTCTTAATAGAACCACTGTTTTCTTTGTGTGAAGAACGTTTTAATAATCTAAAGAACCTTAAAGAACATTTAGTGGTTCCACGGATGTTGAAGGTTCTTCGTGGAACCATACAGATGTCAAAAATGGACCTTTATTTAGAAAAATGTACTAATGTTGCTGTCCCTCTTTGACGGTGCACATCTTGTTTTTCAGCTGAGATCTCCACAGTGATCTGTGATAAAGCACAGAAAGCCGCGGTGCTCCTGGAGAACGTTCAGCGAGGAGACACGCCGGGTCTGAAGATGATCATCCTCATGGATGCCTTTGACACTCAGCTGCTAGAAGAAGCTCAGAAGTGCAGCGTTCACATCCGGGCCCTCAGAGATGTGGAGGTGAGATGTGTTCACTGGACTGAAGAGAGCGTGCAAGAAATTCACCTAAAAATCACAGAAAATTAGAAGAAGCTCAGAAGTGCAGCGTTCACATCCGGGCCCTCAGAGATGTGGAGGTGAGATGTGTTCAGTTTCACTGGACTGAAGAGAGCGTGCAAGAAATTCACCTAAAAATCACAGAAAAGAAAGAAATGATGCTATAATGGTTGGTAAGAAATTAGCTGGTTCTCCCATAATGCATCTGACGTTGAGCAGAAGGAGTCCAGCAGATGTTTTCCTCAGTAGTTTATCTGACGATCGGTCTGAGATAGACAACATTCCTGAATGCAGTCTCATGGCAGCAGGCCTCGGCTTGTTCCTTAGGCTCTTTACATTAACGGCATTCACGCGTGAGCGACATGAACGCTAAACACGCTGCATAAGACATGAGAATGCAGAATTAATCATGTGGGCCTAGTGTATGGCTTGATTAACGTCTCAGGAAGTTGTTTGTTGATGTCTTGATGTTGTTTTTAGGCTCTGGGTCGAGAGCACTACAGGAAACCTGTGGTAAGTGTGCAACGAGTGTTTCACCAGCACTTTTTCATCACAGAACACACCGCGCTTGTCATAGCTGACATATGTTTGAGAGATGTGGGACTGCAAACATCCTATATAATGTGACTTATGTAAAACCATACGCTGTATAAAGGGGTAGCCTGCAATTTATACCTGATTTAACCCATAAAAAGTAGTTTTGTTTGTATAAATTAATGTCTTTCGGTTGAGTCAGTGAAGTTATTAAATAATGTTTTTGACTTGAATAAAACCAGTTTGAGTAGATGTTTAGTTTTTTCAGTGTAGTGTGTAAAAGCAGTAGTATTAAAAAGCATGCATTTTCACTGCCACTGTTATTTGTCGTGAATCTTGTGTCACGTGACTCATTGACTGCGCAGGATTGGTCAGCAGCTGTCCAGTGATCAGACTATAGTTTTTCTCAGGATAAATACAGAAATGTATATGTCAAGTTCCCTAAGCTGCTATAGTCAGTCTGTCAAGAGCTTTAGGACGTTCCCAACGTTAACAGACCAGAGAGACTCTCATCAGTGTTTAGACCTGTGCAGTTGACTGAGACTGACGTATGTTCATCTGTTCTTCTAGCCTCCCGGTCCAGATGATCTGTCCATCGTCTGCTTCACCAGCGGAACCACAGGTTAGCCCACACTGTCAAACCTGCAAATATTCCCCGAAAGAGCCCATTTAACCCAGATAAAGGAGTTTTGTTGGTGTAAATGAATGTTTTTAGGTTGATTCAGATGCTAAATGTTATTTCTGACTTGAATAAAACCTGTTAATTTAGATGTCGTTAGCATGTTTTCATGTTTTGAAGGTACAGTAACTTTAACCCAGTTCTGCATGTGATGCTAGAATATATATTTTGCTTTCAAAAAATAAAAAGGATATTTTTAGCTTTGTTTTCATATGAATGTTTGCGAGCAGGAACACATATCAGTGTTTTGTTGTGTTTGTACGCTGTCACAAATTTCCAACAACTTAAAATCTTGCTGCTTTAAATTTAAAGTATAATTGAATTGGATGAAAAGTCATTTCAAATCATTTTTAAAACCTTGTTCACTGTTTGTTTGGAATATGAGAGCAGAATCCTGAATTTCCCACAATGCAATGGGCCTGACTTGACTTTACATTTCCAGTGCAGTGAATGAACTTGAGATTTTAACATCTCCTCTTTGATTCATTATTTGATGAGACTCTCAGAAATCAAGAGATTTCTTTTAGACAAAATTGGATTAAAAATGCAATTTTTATTTTATAGTTTATGTGAGGTTCATGTAGTTAATAAATGGTAGTTAATAAATAGTTAGCTGGTATTTGATGGTCCAGTTAGCCCCTGCTGGTAGATGCTACGTATATATATATATATATAAAACCCTATATGCATACACACAATATCGGTCAAGTAAAACGGAATTTAGTACAAGTCAGAAATGAGCAGCTCCTTCAGCGGAGTGTGAAGTAAATCACCTGCTGTACACACACAAACACCACATGCACAGCTGGAAATGTGTGTGTGTGTGTGTGTGTGTGTGAGAGAGTGTGTGTGCGTGTGTGTGTGAGAGAGTGTGTGTGTGTGTGTGTGTGTGTGTGTGTGAGAGAGTGTGTGT